CCTCCATCGCCTCTGGTCTTTCCTCCGCTGAGCTATCTTCTTCCGGGGACCCCTCCCTGTCCTCTATACTGACGGTATCATCTGCCCCTTCACCCTCAGGAGTCCATTCCCTCAAGAATTGGCGCACGTCCCGCGATGGACCTCCTCCGTCCTCTTCTACCGCGTTGATCATGATGGCCCTAGAGAGCCAGTCTGCCACCACGTTTTCCTTTCCCGGCTTATACACCACCTCCATGTTGTACTGACTAAGGAATTCTTTCCATCTCGTGACCCTCGCAGAGGTTTCCTTAAGTTTTCCTACCCACTGAAGGGGTTTGTGATCGGTGTGGACTCGAAACTTCCTCCCAAATATATACGGCCTGAAATGGTCGATGGCCCACACTATCGCGAGTAGCTCCCTCTCTAACGCGCTGTACCGTGATTCCGCGCTCGTAAGTCGTCGGCTCGCGTATGCTATCGGACGTTCACCCTCACTTCTGCCCTGAGATAAAACGGCCCCCAACGCGTATTCGCTCGCATCGGTGGTGACGTTGAACTGCTTCTCAAAATCCGGGAACGCCAATACGGGTTCTGCCTGCAACCTATCCATGCATTTCCGAATATTATTTTCCATTTCCGGTGTCACCACGATCCTCGCGCCTTTCTTCAGCAAGTTATTGATAGGTACCAAGTATTCTGCCATCTCAGGTACGAATCTTCTATAATAATTCAGCGTCCCGAGAAGCCTACGAATCCCTTTAACGTCCCGTGGCACCGCCATTCGTGTGATAGCCTCCACCTTTGCCGCATCCGGTCTGACCCCCTCGCTAGAAATAGTGTGGCCTAAAAAATTGATTCGCGTTTGTCCCAACAGGGACTTCTCACTTGACAGTTTCAGCCCGAATTGTCGCAGCCTTTCGAATACCGACCTCAAATGCCCCACGTGTTCGGCTTCCGTTCTGCTAAAAATCAGCAGGTCGTCCATATATACTTGACATACGGAGTCGTCGATCCCCCTCAGAAATTCGTCCATCAGGCGTTGAAACGTTATGGGCGCATTCTTCAGACCAAACGGCATTCTGGTGAATTCGTAATGCCCCCTTTCGAATGTAAACGCCGTCTTATGTTGGTCCTTCGGGTGCATCCGTATTTGGTGGTATCCCGCCTTGAGGTCCAACGTGCTAAACACCACGGCCCCACTCAACCTATCAAGTATATCTTCGAATCTAGGGATCGGGTACTTTTCGTCTACCGTGTTGTCGTTCAACCTACGATAGTCCACTACCACTCTGTATTTTTCCTTATTATCCCCTGGCGCTGCCTTCTTTTTCACTGCCCACAGGGGACTATTAAATGGCGAGGTGCTATCGACTATGATCCCTTGCTCTTTCAGGCTTTCCAATTCCTCCCGAATATGCTGCCTCATCGCCTGCGGGTATCTCCTTTCCTTTACGTAGGTCACCCTATCTTGCTTCAGTGGAACTTCGTGTACCGTCTTCCCTGTTACCCCCAATACCTCGCCCTCCCTGAAGAAAATATCTACGAACTCCGCTTGTAACGCCTTTCTCCAGTCCTCCACCCTGTTCACCGCTCCTATCCGCACCCTTCTTTCTCTCGCGACCCCTATACATCCAAATTTCCTCTTTCCCAGCCTGATACTCCAAGCTCCTCTACGGTTTCTAATGCTTACCCCTACCTGTCCTAACAGATCACACCCTATTATGACTTGGTACTCCCGCGCCATGCTCTCTACCACATGCACCCTTAGCTCCCCCTTCTTCCCTGCCCACCGGTCAAGCGTAATTGACGCTTCCCCTTCTACTTTACAGGGACCACCCAGAGTGATTAGCTGGCAGCCACAGTTTTGTATCCGGAGTACCCTCTCGCTCCCGCACACTCTCCCCAACGCCCCCCGAGTCAAGATAGTACTCGAGCTCCCTGTGTCCACGAGACACTTCACTCCCCCATCTACTTCAATAATCGGCAACCAGCATGGCTTACCTCTAATATTGTTGCAGGTTGCTGTGCGGTCGCCTCTCTGCTGACACCCTTCTCAGATGCCACCTCGCTTCCTCCTTACCGCCGTCGCTCGTCGTTGCTCGCTCCGTTGGCTGCTCCTGCCTCCTTCGCCTCCACTGCTGGCTGGCTCGTCAGTCTCCGTTCCCGACGTCCCCGACTCCTCGGTTGCCTCTTCCGAAGATCCGTCTCTCTGCTGCATCCTAGCTCGTTTTTTCAACTTTTGAGCGTTCACCTCCATTGGCTCGTCTAGAGGTCTCTCCCTCCTGCGAAACATGTACGGGCACTGTCTGGCAATATGCCCTTCAGTCCCGCACTCGAAACATCTAGTGCGCGGACATTGTGCTACCAAATGTCCCGGTTTCCCGCACCCGTGACATTTTCGGTCTTCCCTCCGGGGTCCATTCCTAGGCCTGGACTGTCCGGATCTTCTCTCGCCCGTCGTGGCTTTTTCTCCGTTCGGGTGTTTCATTTCCCTCTTCCTCCACCCTATCTGGGCTGTCCGGGGTCGTCTGTCACTCACTCGGGTCCACCCTGGTTCTTCTACTTCCATCCGCGTCTCTTCCTCTCTTGCACTCAGATCTATCATTTCTTGGGCACACTCGAGGAACGATCGCTCTCTAGGCAGTCCGTCCCTTCTCCCAGTCTCCTTAGCTAACTGAACCTTGAGTATTGTCGAAAGGAATTCCATCCTAGCCTCGACCTCTCCCACACTCATGGTTTCACGCATTTTCTCAGTTATGCGGTTGTACTTCGCCACTAGTACCCCCGCATACTGTCCTCTTGTTTGGCGTTGGGACCGACACTCCCTAAACATTTGGAAGATATCTTCTTCCGGCGTCCATCGGCCCCCTCCGAAAGCCTTCTTCAAACGCTCCTTAATCACTGGCCATGGTGTCTCCTCGTCCGCTTGGATTTGGTTGAGGATGTTCCTCCTCACTCGGCACACGAGAGCTGCCTTCAGTGCTTCTGCGTCTCCCAAGTTCACGAGGTCCTCCGCCACCTTTGCTTCGATTCTTGATATGAGGCGGTCTCCGCCTTTCAGGAAGTGATTAAGTTCACCTATCTCGCCCCCGAATCGCTCCAGGTCTGCGATTGCTCTCCGTAGATCCTGCGTGGTTGCTGCCCTTATCTTCATCCACTCCAATGCATTGGCATGCGCCTCTGCCAATGTGTCCCTAGGTAAGGGAGGGATCTCTTGTATCTGCGGTACTTGCGGTATCTGAGGTATCTGCGGAATCTGCGGAACCTGAGGGGCGATCTGAGGAATCTGCGCTATCGGCATTTCCTGAGGTTGCGGCATTTCAGGTGCGTTCAACACTCCTGGTCGAATTATGCCCTCTGTCGGCATCTCGTCTTTTCCTTATGACTAGGAGAAGAGAAAAAAAAAATTAAAATAAAGACAGAAAAAAAAATTTTACTTCCGTGTTCTCCTGACGTTCTCCCGGGTTTCGGCACCAGTTAAGCGTCTCCGGGCTTGAAAAATAAAAAAAAAGAAGGAAAGAGGAACGAGAAACAATACTCACGACTTCTGAATAAACACTGCTTTATTCGTCCAATAATCTGCCTTATATACAATTGCTATGTTTATTTACATTACAAGATGGTATTAAGGCTGATATCGCCAGTCTCCGGTCTTTATCTTATATATATATATATATATCATTCAATCACGTAGATTATGGATTCCTTTCAGAACATAAGAGTAAAAAAAGACATCAAAAGCTTGAATTGTGTACTACAACTTCTCTATCATTAAAGAGTTTAAACAAGAATGAATGTTCATTATCTCCATGCAGTATTTATATTAAAGAGTTTTTGAAAATAGGTATAAAGATAGAAGATAAATGCCTTTACACCCAATAATTTTCTCACGACCAGGTGATAATAGTTACTGATGTTGAGGATGCCAACTATGATTAGAAAGCTCCTGGAGGAATATAGAATTTATATACAGCAGAGGAGATTGAAAAATGTTGTCAATATAATGAGTTACTAAAAACTTGTGAGCACTCATTTGCTTTCCACTTGAATCCAAGATAATTTAATCATATAATAAAAAAAAAGTCAACAAAAATATTGGGCCATTTGGCACAACATATCAAAATACCAAGGTTGTATAGGCCAAATGGCCCAATATTTTTGTACGGCATCTTTTTCTCGATCAAATTATCTAATGACCCCAGTGGAAAGCAAATGGATATTTATCAGTTTTTAGTACCTCTTTAAATTAATTAATATAATGAAAAAACGTCCTATTTCTGAAAATTCTCTAAGATAAGTTGTAGGTTATAATAAGATGAATCCTTTCACAAAGTTTTAAGCCTAGGACACACTAGTAGACAAAGTTGTACAATTTGTTTATAGACCGTTCTTTGTCTCGCCTAGCCTCCACACAACACTGAGAACATCACAGCCTCATATTGGCACGACGGAGAACATAGTTTTAAACGGAATGAATTCCTGTTTAGTGCTGATTACAACAAGGGAAGGAACGCGAGAACGTAAACATTGGTGGACACGCAAAGAGCTTGCAGAAGGACCTAAGTTAGATAATTCATTATTCAACAAATTAAGACTGAGAGACACCACAGTATTCTTCAATTAATTTTAAAACTTTCTAGTTAGTGAGCAAGTTTAAAAAAAAATGTAAAACTTTGGAAAATAACTGTAAACAGCCGAAGCAACAACTTGCTAGCTGGAGATAGACTGGGATGTATCTTGCCTCTAGACACAGTGTGACGTTCACACAGTCAAATAATGCGCAACATGTCTAATGTTGCATAATGTCTCCCATTCCGATCGGAAGACTTTAGACCTGCGAGTTTTGGTCACGCAACAGTCCTGTAGACGGAGATTGGTCTATAAACATTTCCACGTAGACAAACTGGGACATGTTTCAGAGACCAAAATCATCCAACAGGTCTACCAGTGTGGACTAGGCTTTAGACAGATGTTAATAATTTGATAAAATGGTGTCTGTACTATGGAATAATAGAACTTACCTCTGTCTAAATATTTCTGAAGCTCCTCTGGTGTCGGAAACTTCTCCCAATCATGTGTCCCCCTAGGGACCAAATTGAAAATATATTCAGCAGTAACAATGGCACCCAGCCATGAAGCCATGGTTCGATTAATAGTTGTAAAGAAAATAGACCCAGTAGGCTGAAACAAAGAAAAAACAAATAAATTGAAAAATGAATAAAGACAACATTATAATTACCAAGTTCTGCCATAAATACTGTTACGAAAATTGAACTTTGTTTGTATCCTTGAGTATTATTCAGATAATCCTTACCTCTATCAGGTTATTTTCTTTACATGTCAGAATAATAATCCCAATTAGTTTGTATTTTCTTTCGCTCAGTTAACATGGAGTGGGGTAATAAAGAAAACCGAATAGCTATGATCACCTTACACAAAGTAGGAAAATGTACGTCAGAGATTTTGAACACTTTGAAACCTTTGGGTATCAGCCCTATTTTCGTGTACTGCACTACAAATAGATATAATGAGACCCTATCTGTATGCGACAGACCTCGGTGGGGAGTTTGCTTTGATAGCATCACAGCTCCATTTTTGTGAAAAAGTTGTTAAAACAATTGCTAAAAACTATCAGGGCGATATTTTGGAACCTGTTGTCAACCCTCTAAACAATACTCTGTTTGCTGGAAGTCATTGGGTTTTGAAGCAGGATTCAGGGTCAAATGGCTGCAAAAAAACATTCCAGAGTTCATCTCTGCCTCGGATTGGACCTCAGAAAGCCCTGATCTCAATCCACTAGATTATCGGCTTTAGTCCGAACTGGAGAGGATGGCATGTCACAGAGCACACCCTAACTTGGAAAGACTCAAACAATCTCTGGTCTCAGCAGTTAAGCGCTTTCCTCAAGAAGAGCTGCATGCTACTATCGATAACTGGCCATGGTGATTAAATGTCTTTGTCAAGGTAAAAGGGGAACATTTTGATTAATTTATTTTACTTTCTATAGAAATACATTTTATTTTCTAACAAAGTTTTGAAAAAATCAATTTTTCTGTTGAAATCTATGTATATTTCCTTGTAACAATATTTATGACAGGATTAAGAATAGGTATATAACAGCCTTTTTAATAGTTATTAAAACTATGAAACTATAAACTATTTACTTATTCTAAGATTCCCATTGTTACACTTATGTCACCCTTTTTGATTATACCTACTTCATCATTCCACACTTTGTAACGGTTATTATTATTTATCTCTTAGTTCTTAGTCATTATTCTAACAATTTCATTTTACTTTATATTTATTTATTTTATTTTTTATTATTATTATTTTTTTTTTTTACCATCACTACTTATGTTTCTTATACCTTGTTATCTGGTTATTTTTTTAGCCCTAATGAAGGCCTGAACTTCAGGTCGAAACGTCGGCATATGTAAAAATAAATATTATCATTTATTTTTGCCTGCCTTTTTGACTGACCACCCCAAAACTATTCTTCTCTTCATTATCCATGACAGTCAACCAATTACCAATTATAAACTATTTAATACAAAAATTAATAAATCCTACATTTTATTTTATTTTATTTTTTTATGAATCCGTATCTCAAGTTTAATATGAAAAAGATTTTGGTTTAGTTCTGAGATCCCCAATCCAAGGCACACATGCCTCAATACAACACGTTGGGGGTTCAGAATCGGCATGTGGCCTGTTATTAGATTTTAAAATTTAATTAACATGAATTGAAAGCAATTCCAAAGCGAATGGGACATATCAAAAACCAATGGGATAAGTTTTTTTGACAATAAACTCCAAATATTTTTAGAATGTGGCATTGTACATTTAGTGAAAAGATAGAAACAGGTCATAAAAATAATAAATAATGGTCAACACATTGTAGATTAAAATAAATTTTGTGTCTATTTCATCCTGAAAACCGAAAGAAACTTATTTGTCAATCTACTACACTTTTAGTATTTTATTCACAGACTTACCCCCACTCCTTCTATCAACTAACGAATTAGGCAAGTTTACATACCTTCAATGCTTCCACACAAAGGTGTACGAATTCCTCCTTGTTAGTCACATGCTCAATGACTTCGGACAAAACAATCGCATCATACAGTTCTTTGTGGGAAGAACAATGCTCTTCGATTGTTGTAGTGAGAAACTGGATCTTAGAGTCGGCTGAAAGTTGAGCTTCGACTTCCTTCTTGGCGACATCGATGAGTTCCTGGCTTGGATCGATTCCGGTAACTTCAGCTCCAAGCCTAGACAATGGCTGAAATGATAAATTAAAAAAAATAATTAATTAATGTAAATATAAATTTCGAAATTAAAAAAACAAAAAAACAATTAACATACCATGCTCACACTTAAAAATACTTTCGAACTAAAGTGAAAAGTTACGTTTCAAAAATGGATTAGGAACTGATAATGAATGAAATAAAAATCTGAAATATTTTACTACCTTTTAACTGTTGTATATAATTTGTTACACTAATACGTACGGATTTAATTAAAAAAAAAAATATATATATTTTTTTTTTTTGGTCCACACAAACACTTGATAACTAGCTTTCTAATGCGTTGTTATAATAGTAAAGTATACAATACAATACAAATTTAAAACTCAAATACAAATTAGAAATTCATGTAAGGTACCCAATCTTAGCAAAATTTCATCACAAATAATGAAATTATTTGAAATTCAGAAATTTTTAAAAACATGTAAAAAAAAATCATATCGATATCTCTGGTTGGCATGGTAAGTTGGAGAGATGCTACCGTTTTCCTTTTCAAAACAAATTATCCCTCAACTCCCTTCACCGAGCGAGACGCTAATAGTTCACTTGAATGTTATAGCAATACAAATAAAATATAATTGTACTCCTACATAAACAAAGCAATTTTTGTTATGCATTGATTTTAAAAGAGCATATACTTTAATTTTGTAAGTACTTATTTGACTCAGAACATTCATAGAAACAAAATCAGAACACTTTAAAAAAAAAAAATATATATTTTAGGGTAGATTCAGCTTGGATACTGCACTCACCACCATCTGTATGTTGACAACCGTATAGATTTACCTCTCGTTCAATCTGACCGATTTCTCTGGTGCCATTCAAAAACTACAGGAAGATATAAACAGAATTTGTGCTTGGACAAACTGCAAGAAAACGAAAGCTATCGTATCTCCCTCACTCCTCAAATCCTTACCAACACTCCCCAATATTCTCCTGAACAACTCACCTATCTCATTCCATACTTCTATAAAAACCTTGGTAACACCAACTATTTTACTTTTGATCAAACCCTCGCCTGAAAACCACACATCATTCAAATTTCCCGTCGCACTATCTCTACCCTGAAACAGTTCAACCGCTTGTGCTATCTCCTTCCATACAAGTCACATCATCTCCTGATTTTCTCTCTAGTGTTCCCCACTTTGACTCTCAGGAGAATTCAAAGCCAGACTTAAACGCTTAATGAATTGCTCGATATGTTTTGTTTTCGGAATCTCAAGAGATACGCATATAACCCACTATTACACCGAGCTGAAGTGGCTCTATCCATCTAATCGCCATATGTACTTCCTTGCTACCTTTCTATACCAGGTCATCAGAACTCAGTGACCCTCCTATATTTTTTACAGCCTACAATTTAAATACTCCATTCGATCCCGTACTTCCGACCTCTATTCTCCTCTCCTCCTCCTTGTCGATCTGCTGTGTTTGACAAATCCTTTGTAATCCAAGCTGTCTCCCTCTCAAATTCTATCCCGCCTGATATTAGACATGTACAATCAGTTTCCTCTTTCAAACCTCTCCTCTTTAAACACCTACTACTTTCCCAATCAGATTGTTCATTAAATGTACCTAAGAGAACTCTTTAAGTATCCCTAAAGACTATACCAGTTTACTTATGTTATTCTATTTTCCGATATGTATGTTTTTTTTTTCTTTTCTCTCTTTCTATCTGATTTTTTTTTTTTTTAATTAAACTATTATTTTGTAAACACTTAATTTATGCATGGCCACACTGGATTTTATCCAATACTTATAATTTGTTCAAAAGGGACAATAGCCACAGAATAATAGAAAATATTTTCATTTCCACAATTTCAGAGCTGATTTAGATTTTTATGATTTTCTTCATCATCCAGTTCAGTAGCTTTACAAATCCCTCATGTGATAGTAATTCTTCAGTTTAAAATTAAAAACAAAGCTCCACCCCATTTTTTTTTTTATAGGTAACAATCTTTGCAAATATACTTAGAAAAATTATGGACTTTTTGTCTTTATATTGTTATAATCTAATTTTTACCAAGAGATAAAAATAGAAAATCTCTCAGAATCATCATTAAAGTGCAAACGTCCAAGTAGACTTCAGTAATACCTACACTGAAAAAATTAAGGTGTGTGCTTCGTACCACACGATAGATGTGAAAACATCTACAAGACAAGATTAATAATATGAAATGCTGAACACATTTCACTCCGCTTTCAGTATGAATGTTTGATTTTTAGTTTCTGAAATATTTTCAACAAAACTGGTTATCATTTGGTTTTTGATACTATTTTTTCCTTTTTGCCTCTCTAACACGACGCCCTGTTAAAATACAATTTCAATAATAGCTCATTACAAAGAAGATGAAATGATGAACATTTCCTTTACTTACAGTATGCAGTTCAGATTTTTAGTTTCTAAAATATTTTAATCCATATGCAAAAACACTTCAATTAGTCGACTCCAGCCGACTTTAATCGAGAGTTACAAATTGGAAATCTGACAGCTGAATTCAATTCACTCTCCACAAAAAAATGCAAAACGCACCTAAAGAAGTTTTCACTTCAAAAAGATATAAAATTTGAAATAAATGATGTCCTACAAGACGCTGAAATTTATTGAAAACGATACAAAGAATTTATATATTAAAGGAATGAAACCTAACACCTAAATAATATACAACAGTTAAAAGGTTATAACTACAATATTGTCGTTTTAACATAAATAATAACTATGACTGACTAAAATAAAATTATAAATATTAATGACAGATATGGATGGACTAAAAGATTGGATTTGGTATAATATAAAATATGCTTACTCAGTGAAGGATATCAATATCCTGCCGAATTAGCAAGATAGTAAGCTAAACATGTTATTAGATTAGGAGCACTCCCCACGGAGCTGAGCCACCTGACTCCTCGTACCTCCATGGGAGGTTCGGACAGGAGCAGCCAGCAGTTAACGGAACACCGTGTCGGTCTCCCTGTTCCAGCTTCCATGGTTCATGTGTGCCTTCATCCATGTTCTAACACCGATTAGTTTGAACGAATCTAAATGAATGACCCAATCTGCAGAAAGTTTATATGAAAGATGACGATAGTTTTTGTTCTCTTAATTAGAGAAAGGGATATAAATACATACATATCTCAGCTTATTAAACCAAAAAAAAAAAATATAATTTTAAATAAATAGTTTCCTATGAATAATTTCATTTTCTAAGTTCATTGAATTGGTAATAATGTAAAGGCCTATAAAACAATACAATATTTATCAAATATTAGTAATGTGTTTTGCCCAACATAGAAATACTAAATACTCAAAAGAATGCAGAGTTACAAATTTCAAATAGACCTGATTAAGATTAGTTTTGAGGAAGAAAAAAATTAGAAAACTGAAAATCCTAAAACCAGATACTGGAATACGGACCTAATTACATTAGCACAGTGAAACTTCCCATAGCATGAAGATAGAAATAAATTATCAGAACTATGAATAAAATGTTAAAAAACAAAAAAGTCCATCAGAGTATTAATATGTAAATAAGTGCGTGCATGAATATGTATATAAATAATTGTTTTTTTTTTTTGTTTCATTGGAAAAAAGAAGTATCGAGAGAATTTGTTTATATCTTTCTTTTTTTTTAATAAGTGTTTATTTTCATTTTCATATTATATTTTCTTTAATTATTTTATACAGAGTATTTACTCTCAGTTATTTCTTATATGCTAATATAATTTTTTTTTTTTTTTGTCAAGCAGACCTTCGATTCAATTACTTTGTAATTATTTATGACTGTAAAATTAATTCCTTTATTATTATACAACTGTATTGACTATTTTCTCTTATATTATTTAATGTTTATAATTTATTTAAGGAAGAATTTATTTTAGGTATAAGCATGAAAATTTTCTTTTCTGTATACATGTCAATTTACTCTGTCTAACATTTCAGACTCTTTTTCCATCTTCAGAGACATTACTGTTCACTGTTAAAACATCATATGTTCTTAATAATTGTTAGGTTTAAATATAGAATTTTTTTTAAACAATTAATAATAACATATGATGTTCTAACAGTAAATAGTAATGTCTCTGAAGATGGACAAAGAGTCTGAGACAAAAGAATAAATTGACATATATACGAAATAGAAAAGTTCCATGCTTATACCTATATTTATTATGTTTATGAAGTCAAAACTCTATTTGTAAGGTGGCTTTCTCAGAAAACAAATAAATACATAATAATAAATAAATATGCAATTATAAGTAATATAATATGTATACAATAAAATCAAAAATATGTAATTATACTATCCCAATCATCTAGCCACATTAGTTATTTTGAAACAAAATGGTAGATAATAATATTGAGTTTTAAGAATAAATAAATATATATATTATTGAAAATAATGTCTGAAATCAATCCTTCAGTTATAAAAGTTATAGTGTTGATTTTAAACTAGTTATACTGATTTTAGTGATAAAGGTTATAACTTAAAACTGCAATATGAAAAGAAATTTCTGACTGGGATTAAGATAATTGTCTTTTTATAAGAAATATCTGTTTTTAAAATGTCAGTTTCAGAGAAAGTTTCACTGTGTATATTGTTAGATAAAATTAATAAAAAATGTTTTCAAGGAGTAAATTGATGAAAACAAACGCACCTCATGATAAGTGAACAACAAAAAGGTAATAAGAAATAAAAATTATTAGTTAGCATGCCGAAAATTTAATAATTAAAAGACTGGTTATAAATAATTTCCTGACTAAACAGAATATCCTATAAATTAAATGAACCAAAAACAACTACCAATGTAAAAGTGAATACCAAGCAGTATTAGTATGCAATCTTCAGCCAAGAAAGTTTCTTGTCTAGCATTAAAAGATTATGAGAAGGAGTTGGTCGTGGATGCGGTCAAATGAATACTAAATTTAAAAAATAAGTATTTTAATTGCTACACCAACGTTTCGACTCACTTTGTAGGT